CGCCGGAGCGACGCGGCCCGACCGGCATGGGTAGCGGCTGTTGGCGCCCCCTCTTCCGGCTGGTGGTGCTGGCTGTTCCTCTGTCGTCGGGCCGATCGACGGGTGACGTGTGCGAAGACTAACGCCCATATCATGTGTAGCTGATCGTGTTTTATGCAACTTAATGGTGGCTGGTGGAGAAGCTGATGTTTTTGGTGTATACTGTATTTGGATGAAATGGGCGCGCAGGGTCTCTTTCTCATTGAGTTCTGAGGCTGTTTGTCCGGCCCCGGTTGTGCTTTTTACACTGTGCGTCTGATCGAGCTCGAAATCGTGTATTTCTGCAGCTGTGGAACGATTCTCTAACATTCCAACGTGGGCTGTAACATGCAGCCGCGCTTATGTCAGCGCCTGCGCACATGTGCTTCACCCGAAGCTGCAGCCGGAACATAATACGTCGTGTAGTGTAGTCACGTGCCATGCGTGCTCCGACCCGAGACCGAGAGCGGCGCCAAAGCTCGAGGACGGGTGCGCGCACGTAGCGCCAGATCTAGCAGCGGCATTGTACCCTCATGGCGCGCCGGGACGGCACTGCTCGCTGCGTGTGCTGGCTGCCAGTCTGTCTTCCCTGTCCGTCGGGACGTGACCCACAAAGGCTGGACGTGTTCGGGTCAGACGCGCCGTGTTTTATCCGCGCTGTGCGTACCGTCGGCAGCGTGTAGTGTGCGTGTGTTGATGTGTGTTTTAAACATTTTGAAATATACTTAATGCTGTGCCACTTGGAGCATTGCGGCGAGGAATGAGGTGGGTGGTCGGCATGAGCAATTCCAGCGGCGCGGAGAAGCCTGATCGCCGGGTTGGAAGTCCTGCGGGCGCAATATTACTGCCAAACGTGACGCGGCGTGGCGGGGCAACTTGATGCATGTCTCTCGTCACATTTGGCCATTCTTGTTTCCTGCTGTCACGGCGCAGTTGCTGTCGTGCTGTTTCGAGCTCGTCGCCGGCAACGGCGCACACGCTGAGGAGCACGCTCAGGCGTGCTAGCGTCAGTGGTGGGTAGGATCGCTTCACATGAACTGGTCAGTACCCCGCTTGATGCAGTCCGCCATCAATATGGAGCGAGCACCCGTGCCGTCATTTTTGTATTCTGGATGCAAAAGGTTGACAGTCCACGTCGTTCGTGGCGAACTCACACCCACTGAAGTACACACAATCTGTACAGCGGGGCGCGATCGGGGCCCACCGGCGGGGGAGAAGGGGATTGCACGTGGGGTGTGCTGCTGCTGGAAGTGGATCACACCACACCGCGCCAGTGGTGATGACAGCTCCCGTCTTGCGTGAGCCGCGGCCGGACGCAGTGGAATGTCGGTCTCCTGTTACTTCCCGAGTCCACTTCACGTCGGGAACATCACGAGATGAGCCACGTAAGTGGGTGCGGTGCGCGCACAAAGCGGTCTATACACGATCACGTGCTCGTCTTGTGGTGGAAACATTTACGCCGTGGCATTCCATGCCTACGGTCGCCGACCATATGCTGGACGATGCAGACATTTGGTTGAAAAAAATACGCTTAGTGCACTGAGGCTTACGATGTCACATGCAACTTGCCGCGTAAATGGGGTCACACCCCAACTCAGAGTAGTTTCTTTAGCACTGGGTATGTGATGGCTACATTACATTCGCCGCACAGCTAATCTCCGGAAGATACCCTCCATACACAAGCTGAACGGCTGCGTGATTGGCCGCGGGCGCACTCGGGGCCTTTTTGAGCGTCGGGGCGGAGCGTCCATCGCCGAGTGCTAGATCATCGGGTCACAAATGCACGTCCTGTCTTGCCTGCAGGACAAGGGCAGAGAACTCACCTCCCAAGTAACACCGTCATCACAATCACTGTCATCACCTTTAAGAATGACCAGCTTCCATCGAATTGGCTCCGTTGTGACTGCGGCTCGAGCCGTTGTACAGCAGCGCCACCTATATATAAACTCGTGAACTGCCAGCAGGAATGGCTAGACCGGTGCGCTCAGTGGTCGGTGAAATACGAGTTTTGCATCAGGTACAGCTTGTCTATGGGGTTTATGCTTCCGTAGTTCTGCATCACGTCTAGTGGTTGTGGTGCAGAAGACGTCTGCATTCTGTGAAACAAAGAGGCATATTTATTACGGTCGCAAAACTGATCCAATACGCTTCCGATCCAAAATCGTAAAACGTTCAAAGTGCAGAGCGAACACATGGCTGAGAACAAGTATCAGCCAGCAATTCGCGAGCGCAGTTAGGTTCTGATGACTTGCACTCAAGCTGGCTGCGTAAAGTTGTTAGTCGTAAAGTAAAGTCGTCAAGTTACACGAGTTGCTGACTCATGTAAAACTGCTAGTTTACGATGAGATAGTCAACCACGAAAGTGACTCTTTCCTAAAGTGAATAAAAATCGTTTTAGCCCCAGGCACTGTCGCAAAGCTTGCGCACCCTTAGCACACCCTGAGCTGGGCGCGGCCGCCAGCGTCCACTCACAGGTTGGGGTCGGCATGGCTGTCGTCCATGTTCTCGAAGGAGGCCGTGTCCTCGAGGCTGACGTCATCCGAACCACAGAAGCTCTCGTTGGACTGGGCTGTGGCAGAGGCAGGGACAGCGTGTGACGCTCGATGCGGCAGAGACAGGGACAGTGGGTGACACTCGATGTGTCAGAGACAATGACAGTGGGTGACAATCGATGTGGCAGAGACAGGGACGCTTGATGTGACGGAGACAGGGACAGTGCGTCACACTCGATGTGGCAAAGATAGGGCCAGTGCATGACGCTCTATGTGATAGAGACAGGGCCAGTGTGTGACGCTCGATGTGACAGAGACAGTGAAAGCAAGTGACGCTCGATGTGGCAGAGACGGGAACGGTGTATGGCACTCAATGTGGCAGAGCCAGGGACAGCGTGTGACGCTCGATGTGGCAGAGCCAGGGACAGCGTGTGACGCTCGATGTGGCAGGGACAGGGACAGTGTGTGACACTCGATATGGCAGAGATAGGGACAGTGCGTGACGCTCGATGTGGCAGAGACAGGGACAGTGCGTGACGCTCGATGAGGCGCCTGTCTCGGATTGCACACCGGGTTTGGCCGAACGATTCTCAGCGAGTCACAGTGGCACGGTTGTGACACATACAGCGCTAGATATGAACCAACTGTCACTGGACAGAAGCCGCTAGGGTCTATCTCCGGCAGGTCTGAGTTCACGGCCATCCTGCATAGGTGGCCACCGTTGTCGGGGCTGCAACTGTGATTGGGTTTGGCTGCGTGAGAGCGTTAAGTCGTTTTCATGACTTCAATAAAGTCTTTAAGTTGTGCTGTATCGACATCAATTCAATGTCAGGTATTAAGAAGTCGGAAAAATTTTCAGCTTACTAAGGTAAAAATCTTGAGGTAAATATTGATAATAATATTGAGTTAGCGTTATCAAAAACGGGACATTTTTGTAAACGCGTTGTCGACAAGGTCCAATGTTCTCACCGTCCGGCGAGTAAGGGTGACCAACGCTGGGCGTTCCGGAGCCGTACGGACTGTCGGCAGCATCTGGAACACGTGTGCAACTATGAAGCGCAGAAACCCCTGCAGAGGCGTCGACTACTACATGGATGTGCTGGATGGTCATGCTGCGTGGCTGACAACCATGGGACTAGGCATTAATCAGCGCTGGCACACTGTGTTAAAACTTAAGAGGATGCGTCCATTTTATACCTTTTTGTTTATGACTCATAAAAATGTCGTGAATGTCGGGCTGGCAACGATAGCAAAGAATCAGCTAAACATTCATGCGATAGAAGTCCATGTGATGCTCTCACAGCGTCAAGACCGGCTGTTCTCAGAGCTCCCGAGCAAGAAACACGTCGTCCTCGAGACCCCATCGTCGTATTTCAATGAATTTTAGCTGTGTCGCGAGGGCAGACGTCTGGCCAGCAGCGCGGAAGGGTGGAGGACTCACAGACGTCTGGCCAGCCGCGCGGAAGGGTGGAGGACTCACAGACGTCTGGCCAGCCGCGCGGAAGGATGGAGGACTCACAGACGTCTGGCCTGCCGCGCGGAAGGGTAGAGGACTCACAGACGTCTGGCCAGCCGCGCGGAAGGGTGGAGGACTCACAGACGTCTGGCCAGCCGCGCAGAAAGATGGAGGACTCACAGACGTCTGGCCTGCCGCGCGGAAGGGTGGAGGACTCACAGACGTCTGGCCAGCCGCGCAGAAGGGTGGAGGACTCACAGACGTCTGGCCAGCCGCGCGGAAGGGTGGAGGACTCACAGTCAGTATCCGCCTTTTTATCGCCGTCGCCGTCCTTCTTGTCGGTCTTTTCCTTGTCCTGGCCGTCCTGCTGCTGCTTGGCACGCCGCTGCAGCTTCTTCATCTTGGCCCTCTGGTTCTGGAACCACACTTGCACTACGCGCACCGACAGCCCTGTCTCCTTGGCCAGCGCCTCGCGAATCTAGAAGGCGAGACAGCGGTTGTTACGCGACTAATGCGTCCGGCTTCAGGTCGATCCGCTGACACGAAAATCCGCTTTTCGGGTTTTAAAATTGGGGGAAGGACGAAATGGCCATATTTTAGTTGAAGCAAGGTTATCTCTTAAGTTGAAAATCAGCTATGCACGCATGCCTCCAGATAAGGTGCATTTAATTGTGACTGTCCAGCGAGTTTTTCCTGCATTTGCCTTCAAGACCCTAGAAATTTCATATAGAATTACGACTTTTCCTCACATACGCCTTGCTAATCACTAACACCAAGGCATGTGCCTTTCTAGCATGGGACGAGCGAGGGTATAGCGGATGTGGACGTTATAAAGATTGAACCAAAATGTGGGCGAATGGAGCCAGAGCCCATCAAAAGGGTCCTTCCGATGTTTTAAGAATGTCCATCGTTCATAAAAAATTAGGACACAAAGAATTCCACTGATAGAGCATTTGCTCGCTACTTCGCAAAGTGCAACGCTCCAATATTGACCGGTCATGAGCATGCATAAGCCTGGTTGTTGTAGTGTTGAAACGGAGTAATTTTATTGACCTCCGTCCCTGGTGACTGTTACAAAAGTATTGCGAGAAGCGTAGACCATTGTGGAGGTTTTGTGATCGCTTCCAGTGTTTGCGCTCACAGTGTAGGAGGACTGTGCCATCAAAAAAACGTTCAAATTTATTTTCGACAAGATGGACAGAACATTAGGAGTGCATGGAACAGCTTTTTCCAAGCAAGCGTCCCAAACAGCCGACGCATTTGCATTGCTGCTCTTTGTTTTGGGCCGTAGCGCTGGGGGCCAAAAGGGTGCTAAAATAGAAGTGCCGCCAGAAGGTACTCATTTCCCAATGGGCCCAAAATTTATTACTGTGACAAAACTTCACAGAATAATTACAGCGTAAAGAGAACGCTGGTGCTAAGAAAACTGCTGCTAACTTCTCCGTTCATTGAATGACAGCATGCATCATTTATCAACTCTGTCTATCTATCTATCTATCATCTATCAAAAGACTCAACGTCACCCCCTGGGCCAATCTCTTGAGGTGGAGATCGGTCATACATTGTCTCCACAGGCAGCGTCAACATCGATTCCAAGTAACTGGTAGTCAAGCGAAGTTCATGACACTTTAAATTAACATTTTTCTCCCAGCACACAGCGTCCTTAGGATATTACGTTTTTGACCATCGGTAGGAAACGGTGGCTGACCTGTTGTTTCGTATCAGCCAGATGTATTCTTTTTGGCAGTTCGTCGCGATTAATGATAAAACCTTATTTTTCATCCGCAGGGAAAACAGACACCTGATGCAACATAGCCGCAGGTAGGAGGAAGGTTGGTCACCCCGGCCTGTGGACGGTAATGGTGAATGTAATATAAATTACCGGCCTATCCCGCACGGATCAAGGGGCCAGAACTTGGCATGAGCTTACAGAACTTTGACTGAAAGTTGTCATGCAGTGCCTGTAAGGCTGTTGCATGATTCCAAAGGCGCGATGACCAATTAGCAGCAACTTCTGAGAAGTGATGAAATTGATCCTTTTTTGGTGCATTATTTATGTGCATAATCATAGAGATGAAGATTAACGTTCACGAGGAGGCGGCTCACCTATGACTATCCCTGTTGCAGTGCCATAACCCCTAGCCCCACGGCCCCGAGTCCTGTGCTAAATAACTTAAGACGCCTGATGCAGCAGAATGATTCAACCACCCCGGTTAGAAAGGTCTGGTGCTGGTCGCTGTTCAGACACAGACACAAACCACATAGTTAGAACCAAGAGTGTAGTTTGCCATTCAGTTGCATGGCAGGAGGACTCCATCCCTACCCTCTCCCCTCCCCCAACTTGGGTTGCAGTCCCAAATTTGGAAAAAGTGGACCAGAAGTCGAGGAGAAGCTTGTTTGTTGAGGTAATTTTGTTGGTGGTTTGCATCATTTTTGTTTGTCCAGCCCCTCCACTAAACTCATTTTAGGAATCTATGTCCCTAGTTGGGACTGAACTATGAGTTTTTCTTCGGTTTCAGCACCCTCGGTTTTCGTGAATGTGAAAGACGGTGACGCTGCTCCATCTTTTCCAAACTCGCGCGCAAAGCCTGGGATTAACATCCGCCGGTCCCACAGCCAAGTGGAATGTCTCTTGTCCCATGACACTGCCCCGTGGTTCGGATCGAACAAAATTCAGACCGCCTTCGGTCAGGAGACAATTTACGTTGACGCCGCTTGGCCGATGTTTGGACGGATTAGGATTTGATTCCAACGACGCAATAGCCCGGATAAACGTCGAAAAATTTCCATGCTGAGCAGTGTGTTGTTGAACAAATGGTTTTATGGTTTTAACATAAAGTATTCCTCGCAAATAATTTCATCGCGAGTGCATTTAATGAATACATTCCCGTAATGTTTATCTCCTCATCCAAAATGACCAGGCAAAGCTGTATTTACTCTAACACACACAAGTCAAACGCAAACTATGCGCCTATTCATGTCCACGAAAATTACGAATTTCATTGGATGACCCGATAAAGATAATACAGCAGCTTTTGAAAACAACCGTCAGATCCGTGCCTGGGGGCGGTGGTAATGTAGTGATTAGGACGCTCGGTTCCGTGTGTGTGTGTGATTGGGGCTTTACGACGCACTCAGCTGCTGAGGCTATGTGGCGTCGCATGCCTCTTACCCTGGCAGGAAGGGCGGGCACCGCGGGGTTTCGAACCCCGTACCTCTGGATTCCCAGACGCTTGGTTCCGGACTTGTCGGCCCTGAGTGCGGGGCCCCTGCCGCGCCACCCCCGCATCCCACATAGGGCCTCATAAAGACTTGCCATCTGATGATGATCCTAGCAGTCGATGAGATGGAGAGCCCAATCATTATCATCACAACCGGGCCAATATGCAAGCTGTTTCATCATCTGAGTGCTAACGAGAAGATTTACAACCAAATAGCCAAAAGTAGACCTCAGCACGGAACACGTGCATCCGCCGCTCCAAACTCGTCACATTAACGAGCCCCGAGTCTCCGCAGCCTGACCCGCCATCCCCGCCGGTCTACTCGCAGCCTGACCCGCCATCCCCGCCGGTCTGCTCGCAGCCTGACCCACCACCCCCGCCGGTCTGCTCGCAGCCCGACCCGTCATCCACGCCAGTCTATCCACAGCCTGACCCGTCATCCCCGCCGTTCTGTTCGCAGCCTGACCCGTCATCCCCGCCGGTCTGCTCGCAGCCCGACCCGTCATCCCCGCCGGTCTGCTCGCAGCCCGACCCGTCATCCCCGCCGGTCCGCTCGCAGCCCGACCTGCCATCCCTGCCGGCCCGCTCGGCACCGACCACGCGCCGTCGGACCGCACCTTCCTGCAGGGCTTGGGGCTGATCTCGAACGAGGCCTTGAACTGGCGTCGCTGCGCCGAGGTGAGGATGGTGCGCGGCCGCTTAGGGCCGCGGCGGCCGTCCCTCGGCCGGCCCGGCTCGTCCCCCAGCTCCAGACCTGCGGCAGGCGGCCGGCTGCCGTCAGCAGGGGCACGGGCACACGGCGAGGCGATGCGGACGTCGTGCCCTGTAGTCAGTGTGGTAGCATCAAATGACACAGGGGGTCGAGGAGAGCAGCGGGTCGGGGCCGGAGCGGATGTGGGGAACTCGATAGCTGCGATGTGCGTACCTCATGACGTACCACAAAGCCTATTTTCGATGTGGACTGCAAGCCACGCTTTGGTTTCACCGTTTTACCAACGACAGGAATCGCAGCGTTAGAACCTGCGACAAAGGCGCACTTGCCTCAATATTAAAGCTTTTGGCGGACTTTTTTCAAACGGACAATCTTTGGACTCCTTGACGGAGCATAGGCCGAAAACGAGCACACTGCAGGACAGACGTCGGTTCAGCGCACCTGGAATACCGGTGTCCCAGAAGTCTCCCTGCGTCTGCTGCAGCATGAACATCTCCTTCTCGTAGTCGGCGCGGCAGAGTAGCTGGCCCTGGCGCAGTACGAACTGGTCGCCCTTCTGCAGCAGTTGGCAGCAAACGACGCAGACGAAGCACTGCATGTGGTAGACCTGAGTCTGTGCGCGCATCACCAGATCGTGCGGCAGTGCCCGTTCGCCGCAGCCGGAGCACTTGACCAGATACAGTCTGTCGGGCGGCGGCGACGGTCAGTGTCAGGTACAGCCGTGTCAGGCGAAGAAATCGATCAGGTTCGCGGTGTTGGCACGGCTTATCGAGTATGAGAACACACAGATAAACTTTTCTCAGTTGTGAATGTTAAAACCAGTGATGATGAAACCAGTCGGAAGCTTGCCTACTAAATGGTGTACTGACACGTGACTAAGTCGTGTATGGGGAGGGTCTAAACTGGATCTTTTTCCGCATCATCTTTTCATCACATATCTTCACGGGACCCAATACTCTGTCAGAGTGTGAACAATCATTGGGCCATTTGTCATTGCGAACTGGCACTCATATCGTGCAGCTGTCAGATAAGCGTCGATGTGGGCTTGCGGCCATCATCCGTCGAGTAACAACAGTGCACGCCTTACGTCACGCCAACAGGTCAGAAAACTCTGCTGTGTTCGCTTGCATTCGACCCACCGTTTGCTCGCACGCATCCGTGTGATTTAAATGTGTGGGGGCCATTGAATATTTCCTACGGAACATGTAACAGGAGCGTGTAACATCATACCGGCTGAATTTCGCTTTCATTTCCGTCATGGTGACCCAGCTCTGGCTTTGTAAGCAGTGGCGACGTTTTCCAATTTAGGATAGAGTATACGGCTTTGAAGCTTTCCCGATCTCTCGCACCGCTCCTTTAAAGGTGCCTTTAGAGGGAACTTACGTTTCGGTAAATTGTTCCAATGCGGTGGTGTCCTAAGCTGTAATCAGAAGGTCCCTTTGCGACCTTCTGGAATGGTTGTTTCAGAATATTGCGGGAAAACGCACAATTCTCCGTTACTTAGACCAAAGGCGAAGTTGTTCCTTCTGCCCTCCCCATTTCTCTACGATACGTCAACACTGCATACCTGTAGTGCTCTAACAGTTCTCCATCCGACTTACCAAGCCCGAGTCGATTCCCATAAAGCACTGAACATAAAATTATACCAGTCCCCTGACCACCTAAATGGCCGAGCTTCATGTTTTCCAACCCTCCATGAATCATCGAAAAATCAAGCCTAGCTCTGCTTGGCCAGTGGCTCAGTTTCATCTTCAAAACTGTGCAACGCTCTGGCCACCCTTACCAAACACGGACTATGCCATACTTCACCCAGGCACCGAAAACGTAAACCATTGGGAATTCATTTACTGACCAGGTCATTCGATTGAAGTTGGCCCCCTTAATTCTGATCTTTCTTGGCCCCCCTAATGGGAATGGGACTCTGCGCAGCTCACTTTTTTTAATGGCTTGGGAAAACTGAACACAAGATGCTGTCAAATGTTCAGTACTTCAGTTTAAGAAGCTTTCTCGCCTTCTATAAAATTTGGAAACCATCATGATCGCAAGCAGATGATGCCTTTGTGGAGCTCATGCCAATGACATGTCGCGGTCAGGCGCCCGATGATCACATGTGTCGTAGGTCAGGTGTATTAAGAGGGGTTTCACTGTTCTCACATACTGAGCCTTGGTATGCTATGGGATGATGGATTTCCATAACGCACCGCTAGATCCAGTCGTCCAAAATCAGGCTGCGTTGAATGCAATGTTTTTGAAACATTTGTTGCGAGGAAAAATCCTTAATATTTGTTTTCGCTCCAGCAAAACACTTTCTATGATGGGATCAACCTTGAAATCAAATTTCGGATTTGTATTCGATCTGGATGCCGCCTGATTTGAATCGCATTCATCCAAACGAAATATGTCCGTCTCGTACTCTACAACACTTCCACTTACTTCCAAAGGAACACTTACTTTCGTAAGTATTCCTCTGCACTTCCGGTGCAAAGTTCCCATTAGAACATCAACCGTGAGAAATGGATAATGTCTTAAAAAACAGCTATTGAACAGGCGATAGAAGGAGTGTCCCTAAGGTATCGGCGAAGCCATAATTTCGCCCGACAGGGAGCCAAATCGAAGCCTTCAAGGGATTTCCGGTTCAGGGGGCCGACTTTATCGCTATAGGGAGCCTGCTCTTGAATTCAAAATACTTTTTAAGGCTCTGAATTCCATCTTCATGTTTTGAGAATCCATGTTTAACGTCTTAGAAACCTTGCGGATGTCTTCAGTAGGCTAAAAGCACGGAGACCTTTGGCCCCAGGGAGGCTACCTCTCGGGGGGCCATGCCCTCTTGGCTATGCCACAGCCAGAAGGGGCTATCATGCTAAAACAACTGCAAGTCCGTTACATAATGTTTGTTCGTATTATAGTAAATTACATAGAAATAACAAGATTATGTAACCGTGGTACAAGCTCAAGGCTCCACTCCATGAATTTATATTTTCGCCCAACATTCTGAATGTGTGTCTCGCTCCGCGGTCCTGCTTCAGGCGCCGACCGCGGAGCAAGGCCAAGAGATCTTTGTACTTAACTTTTGTTCGGACATGAACTATGCTGTCGACCAGTGGTCGTAAGGCCGTCCCACGCCGTACAAGATGTCGGAATGCTGTTCTCTTTATCCCATTGCATTGAGTCCTATTTACTGTGTCTTTCTATCACATTCATAAAAACAGATGTTACACACACAATCAAGCAAATCAAGCACACACAATCAAGATGCAAATCAAGCGGGACACACCACCGTGGTACGGCAATAACCATTTGGACGCCTCTTGTGGCGGGGAACGACGTGGGACCATGAGTGACCAGCCAGGAACAGATATGTTTCTTTTGTAAAATGCTCATCAAGAAGCTTATTGTTTTACACAACATGCATGGCCACAATCTAAAGAATCGTAATAAACGAAAAGCCTTTTTTGAAGCAAGCTGTAAAAGATTACAGAGTTTCATTCAATTATGTCTTCATTCAATAGTGTCTTTATTTTGTCAGTTACCAGTGGATCTTTGGATGAAAATAGCCGACCTTTATCCAGCATAACACATAAGCAGGAAGTACTAGCTCAACCATGCATCAAGTTGTGAAAACGCAATATTACAAAAATGCTTGTAACATATTCCAAGAAATGACCTAATTCGTAATCTTAGGCTCTGAACTTCTTGCTAAAAACAGGCGCAACTGAACTCTTTTTTTTCTCAAAACTTTTTCTCAAATTTAGCCCGTCTTTGTCACTGTCAGAAAACGCTTGTTTTTTTCTCATCAACTGCAAACAGGGGAACTGTGTCATAAGTTCATAGCTTTCCAGCTCGTCTATGCCGACACGACATACTAACGGATCCAGAGGCAGGCAAGCAAACTGAAAGCTTCCTTGCTGCGTGAAGAAATTGCGGACGCGCCGAGACATCGCGGATGCACTTAGAGATGTTCACGGCTGTCTGAGGACTAGTGTTGTCGAATCATCTACACTGGGTCTAACTTTGGACCAGCGTCATGTTCTCCATCACCACAAGAGAGTGATGTGCAGAAAAGAGCTGTTTGTTCAACTCGCGATCCATTCAGAGGCTAACAATAGGCAAGACTAAACGTTGCGTGCCAAGAAGCAGCCCAAGCATGGTGAAACACTTTACAAAAGTGAGCCATTTCTGTTCCTGGATATGCGTCAACCAGAGATGAATTCAACACGTCGGATCCCAAGGCGGCGAATGGGGAACATTTCAAAACATCGACGGCAGGTAATGAAATGGTCAGCTCTGATGCAGTGATCAACAGTAAACAACCCCTTGAAAAACTGCGCTAAATGATCGTACAGGTAAGTTATTTTTCCTAAGTCACTCGCTGATTCATTCACGGATTCTTAAATTATTGTCCCGTAATAACAGTCTGCTTTTGACCCTCTTTCAGCATACCATGAGACCTCTGACCATTGTTCCTTGCAAAACAGTTAAAATCACATTCAGAACGGAAATGGAGTTGAGTTTAGAAGGTAGGAAAGGGTGTGATGATAACATATCACAATATTGTTCAATACTTAGGTTTAACCTGTGCCTACTATTCAATTTGAGGTCGATGGTTTTCAGCAACAGAACCGAGAAACTAACGCTGAACGTTTCTCGCTCGTGCCAAGTTTCTCAGGCATTCGCTCCTAAGACGCTGCAATAGTTTATATAGTCATTACACAATAGTAGTTAAACGCAAGCTTCAAAGTTTTGAATTTGACAGGGGTCATATGGGAGAGGGTTATATCATTCCAGGTGCAACACGCCACGCTGGCGATGACATGCGTACCAAGAGCTATAGCAGGACTTTTGATCAAAGCGTTAAGAGGTAGCTGAATCAAAATGTAGCAGTATCAACATTTTAGTCTCGCATATCAGAGGAAATGCTGACGGAATCACGTCTTTCAATGTAGCAGACTGATCATAGTGGAAAAGCGTTTTCAGTAGACCATAACCTCCAAAGTTGTTTTGCTAGCAGGTGATATCACGATCGGCACCGCAACCGAAGCGGGAGGATCTTTGAGGGGCGGACATGAGCTGAATTTAGTGTTATCCTTAGCAATCTGACACTTTCGCTTACCGTTGTGCGCAAAAAACATCACAGGTATATCATGATTTACGAAAAAATGAACCATGAAAAACCACGAAAACAATGATAATAGAAGACAAGGTTAGCTTGGAGGAGGGCGCAGGGTCTCTGAATCTGCGTTCAAACTGCTGCCACGGAAACAATGTTTTGGGGGTGGCAGCAGCAGTCTGCGCGCTGCTCACGCAACAATTTTTCCAAACTGACGGCGAATAACAATGAACATGGATGCTACTGAAAAGATGCGTTCAAAGTCAGCACAATTAAAAGCAGCTGTTCAAATACAAATTAAATGTAAAACCACCTTTCTAGATACAAGTCTAAAAGTATAAATAATGATGGTCAATGGTAGTTATGTAAGCATAATGGATACCAATGCGTGTATACATTAATAAAATAACTAGCTAAAACATGTAGAGATGCTTTGAAATTATTTATACCGTCACCAATCCGCATAACCGTCCTATACTTATCTTATGTGACAGCAAAAAGAGCATGAGAGTTATACAAATGAACTGTGCCACTAATGTGTAGCACAGCCTTCGCCAAACTCCTACGAAAACCGCCTTTCACTTCGATGAGGATGGAGGAAGTTGGAGGCGAGCTTTGATGAGCTATGAGGCGGTTGGATGAGCCACGGGAACGATCAGATTAGTTTGGAGGAGCTTTGAAGCGGCTAGACAAACGATGGGAGCAGGCCCATCTTTTGTTGTCAGGCACACCGAAAGAGCCGTGAACATTTTCTCCGGAAACACGGCCGTGTCGTCGACATATGCCAAGTCGTCATTTTGCATCCGCCCACTTGGTATTTGATTCCATGGAACCATCGGATAAAATATTATTTGTATACCCTTGGGACGGAATACTGAAGAGCCGAAAGGGAAAATAGCGGAAGCCTCGGCGTAAATTATCTTTATGCTTGTGTGAATAAATGCACATTATGCAATTATTTTTCAGACTATGAAGCATCTCTGCGAGTGTCCCTCGCGAGTCAGACGATTGCATAATTTTTTCCCCAGAATTGTGTCGATATTATACTTTTCTGCAACATCCGAGGTGTTTGGACTTGGCGCCCACACATATTCGCCACCTGATCTCGCTCAAATGACAGTTTCCTAACGCATTCTGATTCGGTGAGCACGACCCGTGACCAGCACATACACATCTGGTATCTCTATTACAACTGCAAACAATGTGACCAATTGAGTTCGATGAGTGATATCTTACAATGAGCAGTGTTGCATACCGACACTAAATAACCAGATAGGTAGGAATGTATTTAGTGATGGGTACCCTCAGCTTCAGGGCCAGACCGTCAGACCGTCAGCGCCGTCATCACCTCATATATATATATATATATATATATATATATATATCGCATATATCGCACAATACATCTATCAAGGTGTCAATTGCGTGGATCTAAACACGCTTTCCCTGTCAAACGCTTTTGAGCACATGTACATGCATTGTTGATGTGCCGAACAACTGTTGTACCTCGTTCATGTAAGCAAATCTCCAAATGCATCATAACGAACACTGAAAACGGCCGAATAGCGTTTAAAATTTTGCAATTGACGATGGAGACCTGAGGTGATTTTCCTTGACTACAACTTTATTCTGCAGTCATTGCACGCGCCAATTGTCAACAGCTATTATCTACGTCTCGAGTCAATCGATATACAGACAATTACTATCTTTCTACGGATTGAGAATTTTTGAAGAGGCATCGCACTCACAAAATACTCAGGGGAGCAAAATTGTAAACACTCGAGGCCTGCAAAATATCGGCCTTGAATGTCACTACCACCGCCACATTTTTTTGGCGCGATGGAAATGGTCTACTTGGGCAACAACCTACAACAACCCACACCGCACAATAATGATGCATTGCACTTTTTTCATCGAGCTTTCTACCGACTTCAAACAAGGACAACGTTTCTCTCATCATGATCATGTAAACGTAGACTTCCCAATAAAAGCGCATTCGAATCCCTAACTTGCGAAGTCGCTCAAGGTCATGTTTAGCACATTTGTGCAACCAGTTGAGTTCGTTTCAAATGATCGCTTATAGCTGGGCCTGTCATTGTAGCCCAGCGAGACGCCGGCGGGCAGCCCGTACCTCTCATAGTCGTACTTGCAGAAGACCTTGTTGTCCTTGGTGAAGCAGGACTGGGTGAGCCGTACGCGGCAGACGGAGCAGACGAGGCACTCCTCGTGCCACGAGGCGTCCATCATGCGCAGCAGGAAACGATCCGTGATCTTGAGGCTACAGCCGGCGCAGCACTCGAGCTGCTCGCACTTGACATCACCTGGGGGGGGGGGGGGGAGGGGGAGGGTTGTCAGAGGGCTGACACACCGCCCACGAAGTCACGGCCGCACCATGCGGGACATGCTGAGCGTTGTCAGTAGAGGAGACGTCGCCGAACGTCGGAGGGGCGCGTCAAAGATGGTTTCTCCGTAGGACGGAGGAGAGTAGCAGCAGAAATTGGCAGATTTCCTTTATCAGGTCTCGCCAGCTCACCACCAACACTCCGCAGATTTTCAATCGCACACCGTATGCCTTGAAATGGTCTTTGCTGATGCCGATGTGAGAACTGATTGCATTGGCAGGGGCGTACATAACTTCCTTACTCGTTTGGAGGCTTGACATAAATATCAAGCTTTTGGACGAGCGGCGAGGAACGGAAGCGACTTTAAGCGACGCTTAAAGCATGTGAGTAACCTTACGTATCCCCAGCTTTGTCTTGTCCACCAGTGGAAAAAGCTGGGCTCTAGTTAACACCCATTTTTCATCAATCCATGTTACCTTGTGTCGATATTTGGCTTCAGTGGGCTACAGCACGAAAATATTGTGATACGCGTAACATTTGTACCCACAAAAACGTGTAACAGTGGTACCCACGAAAGTGTGTATTATTCGTACCTATAAGCATTGAAACATATTCCGGCACCATAAGCTAAAACTGGGCTAAGACCAGACGACGGCTGAAATGGGATTGAACGTGGCTGGAAAGCATGCGCGGGAAAACAATGAGGCGCTGGCACAGCAGCATTGGCCGGCTCAAACATGTGGCCCCGGATCCCACGGGAAGCTTGGAGCAGCACACCGTAATTCCATAGACACATAATTGCAAACACATCTCTGGCGGATTCCATTCGAAGCTGCCAGTCTTGTCAACGGACCAAAACACATCAGGCAGCACAGCCTTCACAGCAGGACATCCCGGACCAGCAGCCTTCACAGCAGACATCCGGGAGAGCAGCCTTCACAACGGACAGCCTTTGTGCAGCCTGTGCCTACAGCAGCCTTTACAACACACATCTGGGAGAGCAGCCTTCACAACGAACATCCGAGAGAGCAGCCTTCACAACGGACATCCGGGACAGCAGCCTTCACAACGGACATCCGGGAGAGCAGCCTTTACAACACACATCCGGGAGAGCAGCCTTCACATCAGGCATCCGGGAGAGCAGCCTTCACAACGGACATCCGGGAGAGCAGCCTTTACAGCAGACATCTGGGAGAGCAGCCTTTACAACACACATCCGAAGGAGCAGCCTTCACATCAGGCATCCGGGAGAGCAGCCTTCACAACGGACATACGGGAGAGCAGCCTTTACAACACACATCCGGGAGAGCAGCCTTCACATCAGACATCCGGGACAGAGGGCTTCACAGCAGACATTCGGGACAGCGGCCTGCGTGCATCACTGGATCCTAGTCGGCCTGCGTCACAGGAGAAGGCCCAGTTGAAAGAACACAGGTGTATAGCAGCGGCCAATCTTCCACTTGCTCACAAGCCATTTGCTGTCGCGGATCAACTCAGTGGGACGGGCCGAGCCAAAAACACAGCCCTCAGTCACGGCACTGGGAGGTGCAGGCAGGATTATTAAACCAGGGCAGTGGCCTTGCAGCACAGTGGTAATAAGTCACTGGATCCTGGTCGGCTGCTGTCTGTCTGGTAGTACTGCAGAGACGCCACTGGCAGCGGTGTAGTTTTCTTTTTATCTGGACAGGGGAGGTGGGCAGCATCCCAATTTTAAGAAGACAGCAGGTCAAATCCGGGGAGAACACCCTTTTCGGGATTTTAAGGGCAGGTATAGTCATTTTACTTTCTAGCCCCCCCCCCCCACATCGATCTATTTTGCGAAACTACGCTCCTGGCTGCAAATCTGTTATCACGATTTTTTCTTGGGGCCGGGGGAGGGGTAAAGGTGGATTCAAAGCACGTCATTGCTGTGCCTTGTGCCTACATTTGTGTGGGTTTTCCTTTCCAGATACAGCATATTGTCATATTCTGCACTTTATTTGCCATTATGCACGTATTTCGCTAAGAACTCTTAACGAATCGGCTGTCGGATTAAGCCGATACGTGACAATGATTCCAATAGGTGCTCAATAGACGCATGCAGCGGAAGAAAAATAACTCAGGCGATAAAGATGAATGAAGACTCCGAAGATTAATATGAAGGGAGTCAGTGTATGTGGTGGAGTTGGACTGGACATACCGTCATATTATGGGTGAAGCAGATACACTCCTATGCGTGTCCACAATCCAGTAATGCATAGTGTGCGGCGCAGGACACATAGGGCTGTACAGACACAGCTTATGTAGACGCTACCAACACCTGAGGTAAAAAAGGTTATGCATATGTCTACGTTATGTTTACACGTTAGCGTGCCATCAATGCATTTGTAGTCCATCTTTCGTGGCAGTTGAATAGAATGATGTTCATTGGTATAGCGTGCGCAGTCTTTCCCAAATTGTCTCATCTCAGCTAATTCGCTGTGGGTTTGGCGAAGCTCACCATTTCGGCTGATAGGTCGACAAACAAGCAATGCACCCCGATTGCGGTTGGTTAATAGCCGCCGGGACATCGGGCAGCACGCCTGTGTGACTTTCATCTCCCGAACCACCTCGGTCCAGGCGGGGCCGCCGTATGTGGTCTTGGAGACCGGCTTGAAAACCAGAGACTTTAACTTAGTCTTACCAGTGCTGGCCAATGTCACCTTTTCCTGATAAAACGACGAAACTTGTCGTTGTGTCGTCAAACGGTGTGTATTTCGTGCTGCTGCGATTCTGGATCCTCGAAATCTGGGCCACGGTTTCAACTAATGTTGGGTAGCTTAATGCGATAAGAAAATTTCACTTGTATTGCGTTGAATGAGGCGGTCACTTCGCTGTTCTTTTTAAATATCAATATTGCAGGAAACCGACAGCTATAGCAAGCAGTTAAGGTGCAATTGTCCTTTAACTGATAGAGTGCAACTTTGACGAAGCGAGCTGCTGAGTGAGCTGCTGAGAAGCGCTCAACGTCACCGTTAGCGACTGTAAAACTACTAGCTTCTGGAAAGCGCAGCACACCAGTCCCAGAAGGCCACAAGTTTCGTCGCTTTTTCATGGCATGACAATGCAAAACACGAACATCAATGCACAGCCGATGAGTCGATACACATGGAAAGTATCAGTTACCATCACATAGGTAGCCCCAAAACCCAAGCTGACAGAGAGGGTCACCAATGGGAAGCCATACGGACGATCCCCATGATCAGGGCATTCAAAAATTTGTCTTCATGAATTGTTTGAATCGCATGTGTTCACTGACATAGTGTTAGCGAGCTAGACCATGAATCATACCATCTGAAAATTCTGGGTTCGGCCACGTCTCGCTATTCCAGTCCACGATATTAATAAATTCGGGAAGTTATCACGGCTATAACGGCTGTTATGAAAGGAGCACACAAAACGTGAATATGTTGGTTAAATACCGATAACAGTGAACCTGACTAGGTGCCACCGCAGTTTAAATGTGCCAGTCTCTCTCCCATAAGCCACCACGTGCTTCATGAGAGACCATGTTCGGAGATGACAACATCGACCGCTACCCGTCTGACCACGGGCAAACCCATTGGTCAGACATTGTTGATGGTCGGATAGCGTAGAGGCACATTCGCCTACGCCGTAAAGCTTGCCTCTTTATGCATCCTGGTTGCCAAGGTGTAACATTAACCCATAAACACGACCCCAAGCATGGTCGGGTGCGCAGTTTGCGCTCGTCCGCGCACGGCCGGCCGCACGCATCGCCTGCCCAGTTTGCCAGTACGACTGTCCACCCTCTTCCCTTCAACGGTGTTGGCTTCGCGCCCTCCCGATGCTGCGTGGTGAGTCCTGTGTCGTTCTCGTCCGTGTTGTGGAAGCTCCTCCTAATACAAATATTTTACGCTCCATGAGCAATTGAAATGATGAGGGCTACATTTTAAGGGACGTCGATATTGCAGGTAAACAGCCTGTATTTAAATGCCTTGAAACGTCACACTTGTATGAAGACTGTGTTTCTTGTTTCTTGAAACTGCGTGCTGATGCTATGAATGGTGGAAAGGAGCGAAGGCCTTTGTGAGGCACGTTGGTCGGACTTAGAGGCCAGGCCGATCAGTTTTGCATAGACGTAGGAGCAGGGGTAGGGGAAAGTTTTCTCCAGCTTTCGGAAGATTGAATAAGAAGAAGAGGCTTCACGGTAATGATAGATAGAAGAGTAGCCCCTGCTTCCAGCTGTTTTGGAAGTTCCTTTGCCCCTATCTCACTCATGGTTCAATTCCCTTCGTTATTACCAGACTCGTGTTCGGTGTGAGACTGATTCAACGCTTGCCTCGAACTCTGCCCGAAGCAATCAGTTAACTCTCGCCCGGATCCGCCGTTCATTATAACGCAAACGGATGGGCAATCGATATGACCCCTACCATTTCCAAACTAATAAGGCCTGAGCCTCGCAGAACAAAAACAAACAGTGAATTGGGCTCAGCAAGATCTTGCGATTGGTTTCGTGTTACCAGGTCGATAACTATTAATCCCGCTATGCCAAGTCAAAGCTGAATTCTTCCAGAAGATCGGGCAAGCCCAGGTTTGCGCTTTACTGTTTACGCAGCATGCAATGTGGCGACGTGAAGCTTCTACGAAGGTCTCGCTTCTATAATTTGGAGTACAGACGCATATACTTTTGTGTGTTTTGACCAAAACATTGAGGATGGGTGCTTCGTAGATCCAAGTTTGGTATCGGCCCCCCTGATCGGCGAATGCATCGGTTGCCCACCACCGTGCTTGACGCTAGAAGACTGCCGTGCAGTACTCCCAAAATAAACATCTTAGAAAAACAGAAGGGTTAGAGTTACGTTCTTAAGTCAAAACATGAGCAATGAATGCTCCAGAGGCTACTGGAAATATGGGCACGACTATACCCCTTGCTAAGTGAATATTGGCGAAAAGCCTTCGGGGGTCGCGGGACCCGTGCATCAGGACAAAGATCAACAACACGAGGAATCAGACACGGTCAGCGGAGTTGCTGGTCAGCGGAGTTGCGGTCTCCTCTGCTGGCAACGCAAGCTGCTCGCCTTAATTTTCTAAACACAAGTGACACTTGCTTGAGCCAAGCATAGCCTCCTCGCGCTCTCAACGCGGTCAGTGAAAGGGTAAATGCACGATAGGGCGAAGACAGAATCATTACCTCAGTGGTTACAGGTCTGTCTGTCATATTCTATTTAAATGGATATTTTGCCCAAACATTGGTAAGCAGAGGCATCGAACACCTTTATTGCTGGCTGCGCTGCGTGCTGCAGTATCAGAATAGCATACTGGGCCGGCTTCAGCGAACTCTGGGGCACAGCGATACTGAGCACAGGCTGAGGGCGAGGAGTCACGACAAGACACCACTCCCTTCTTTGTGCGAATACTTAACCCCAAGAAATTACAGTAGCCACAATTTGTCGGTGTGTTAAGGATGGATTCAATGTGTTTAGATCACGCAGCTGAAGGTTAAGGACGGGTGTTATGTGTTAAGACCATGTAGGCGACGTGGTAAAGTTTGTGACTTTCAAAGACATGGACTGCAAAATCAACATCATGTGACTTTCAGTGGGCTAGCTAATAGAACACTACCAAAAATCGGTTTTCAGTTGAGTCCTTCTGCTCTGGATTAACGAAGATCATGCCTGTCTTGATTGTCATGTTCAGAACCTGAGACTTGTTTTGTCGTATTTTTTATTTTAGAGAGTTTGTGGCTTGGGATGTATATAAAAAGTTGGAAACTGGTGGGTCACTGCTTTGCTCTTGCTTTACGATGACAGGCTAGCCAACAACCATGCAGTGTTCTCGCAATCTGGTGAGGGCAAGTGCTCCTCCTCTTGCACGCGGCTCCTTTGCCAATGAAGACTAGAAATTCATTAATTGATGGGAGTGGCCAACAAGCAGATAATTCTCCGGCCCCGCCCCCCCCCCCCCTGAAGGACCTGTCAACAACCTGGTTATCATAGAGACCCGGCACAACCGGGGAGGGGAGGGGAAGGGGGGGGGGGCAGCAGGTGATGAGGTCATGGACCTTCGCAATTCAATCTTGCTTCTTTAGGCCTGGAGTAAGAAAGCTGGGCACCAAACATTTTTTTGCTCATAAGCAAAACCTCATGAAACTAATCGAGAGAAGCGGTGAAAACTGGAGTTTTCAAAGCAGTATTGAACGAACTGCTGCCCTTCTCGCTTTAAAAAAGGACTAGGATAATGGGTGGGTGGGGATGGGGGGGGGGGAAGGACAATGCTACGGCAATGCCTGCACATGTTCAATATCCAGAAAGACACTGAACATATCCGTAAAGACGCAAGGCCTAACGCAAGGGTTGTCCCACTCAAGATCTGATGCCGGATCTGCCCCTGGCTGCACCTCACACCTCACAGCGAACCCCTACACGGGAACACCGGCAATACCGTTCCATTGGACGCGTGGGACGCATCTGCCCCCGGTTCCCAGCCGCGTCATCCGGTCAGTACTCACTGTGAGTCGCCGTCGCCATCCGCAGGGCCTCCAGCGCCTCCTGGACCATGGCGGACCGCCCTAGCGCCGCTCTCCGACCCGAGCCACGCCGACACCGAGAACGAGCCGAGCGCGCACCGGCCAGTCGCCACGCAACAACGACCCGATGCCACACTTCCAGAGGCGCCCGGGTCGTCCGCTTGACTGAATGGGGTCCTGGAGGGCCGCGGGCGCCATTGGTCCCGGTGCGTGCGCCCCGCCCAGCGGCCGGCGCAGTGGGCGGAGCCTGGCCAGGGCGGCCTCTGATTGGCTGCTGGGACGTATCGACCGCGACGTCAGCGGGCGCCTCCTGTCCGGTGGTTGGCGTCACGGCGCCGACAGCATGACAAAACGCACGTCTGCCGGCGAACAGTGACGGAGCAGGAGAGAGCAGCTCCGGCCGCCAGTTGGCATGGCTTGATCCAGAATTTCGCCAGCTCATGCGTTTTTGTTTTAGTTGTTTTGGATTTGATGAATGGCTATGCTCGAAACCTCGCCGAGTGTGGAAATTGTAGTATGAATGATGAGGATAATCGAGTGTATTCTGAATATTCATTGGCACTTCAGGCAGAGTAAACGCATTTCTATTGACCAGAAATGTAAAAGGATCGGCCGAAAACAAATGTCGACAGCAAACAAGTAATGAGGGAGTGGCTCAAGGGAGGAATTCAGTCCTCTCTCTCGCTTTGGACTCAGTGGCACATAGAGGTCTCCATGGGAACTGCATTACTACCATCATTTATATTTAGAGACTCTGGTAGTCAGTAATGTGCCTCCATCCTCTCTGTGACTGTGGAGTACATGTGTAAGACAGCCTTGTTACAGGAGTCTCTGAATAAGCAAGATAAGTAAGTTGTTTAGTGCATTTGCGAGGAAAATTTGCTTTGATAGTCAGTAATGCTGTGCCTCCATCCTCCCTATGACTGTGGAGTACATGTGTAAGACAGCATTGCTACAGGAATACTTTATATAAGCAAGATAAGTAAGTTGTTAAGTGCGTTTGTGAGGAACATTATTCGCATAGATAAGACCGTTTATTCTGCCATTGTTTTGATAAGGGCATGTGACCGAAATATGAATCCATCTATATATACAGGCTCCCGGTCTTTTTCGAAGAAGAAGGCTATTACTACCGTCTTATGCAAGCAAGATAAGCTGTAAGTGTTCTGATTTTTCGGCATTGCCGATGAGTGGGGAATCCTTATGCTGGCAACAAAAAAAAAAAACTGTAATGTGTCAGCTATTCCTGGTTAAACATAATCAAGCAAGCATTTGCTACATTTACAACACTCGACGTCTCAAGCTGTGCTTATGGCCATAAGTGACCCTGGGCACAACATGGCCTTCTGGCTTGACCTCGAGTACGTTCCGCCCACCCAGAATCAGTGTCAGTAGAAAGCAGAAACACGTGTTTTAAGTTCAGCACCTGCTTGTGCATATATTTGAAACGGAGCCTCTGTCAGGCGCGTCGCTGCCCAACCGACCTCTCGTCGGCCAGATTACCGCTTACTCAAAGTACCAGGGCAAGCTAATGTCTTTATTCAAAGGAGCACTGCAGCCAGCGACATAGACGTCAATATTTCAAGCTGGAGAAGAAAATATTATTTATGTACATTTCATCGGTCTATACAACAACAATATGCAGTTTAGCTCTGCCACGTGCATTCTGTGAAATGGAACCACCAGCTTGGTAAGTGAGTGACCTGTAATTCTTCCAACAAACATGGCATTAGTGAAAGCCCGATGGTGATATATTTTTTCTGATATGATAGCATTTTTCAGTCCTCCAATTTTCTGGCTACACACTCATCATGATATCAGCAGCAGGTTCTGTTGTGTCGCCGGAGTTTGGTACACAAGCAAGGACGAGCCATGCCTTCGTAAACAGGTGGGGGTCAAACTGACCGTGCGCGATCGATAGTTCAGATAACACCATCCTAGTGGATAGCTTCCTCAGCATTGTAAAGTAAATGTCGCAGTCATTTATTAACAGACGCCTGGGAAGGAGGATACAATCTTCGGGCGTTCTTCGGTAAGTTTGTTGGACAAAGAAGCCAACAGACACGATTTTTTTCTCAAGTGGGAGCTTTTTGCCAAAATTGCATTGCAAACCACTCCATTGCATTTTTTACCTTTGTCCAGGTACTTTTCAAACGTGGGTATTCGCCCCTCCTTATCTACTTTCCGCTTCCTCCTGAACCCTCACACCAGCTCTTTTATCCGGGCCACACTGCATGCACCGGCCATGAGTGTGCTCTCACGCTCCTGGCGAGGGCCCCGCCCGAGCACCACACCATCCCTGCGCGGGCTGAGTCTCGGTAGCGGAGGACTTCCACGACGCGCGAAGTTCCGCCACGCAACTCAGCACCCTCCTTCACCACAGAGTCCTGAGTTGGTCATTACTGACCGAAACAGCTCTGGCCCCAAGAGAACCAAGCCAGCCGCGGCTTACCGCGATGATACGCGGCGCTCGGAGGATGACCACGCGGCCAGCACCGCGCCCACCGGCGACGGCCAGAGGCAGTTAACGTCAGGACCTCGTGAAAGAAGCTAAAATTAGCTACAATAATTTTGTCGTGGAGAGCATGCCGCAACACCATAAATGGTACGCCATGGGCATGCTTTCAAACCAGGTTTGCAATAAGCATCATGGATCTGGGAACACCAGATGTGTTGATGTAGAGACATTGTCATCCCTAGCCACTCTTAAGTTTTGGTATTTTTAGCCTACATAGCTTCGGAGATCGGGGAACTGATCCAGTCCCAATCCATCCGTTAGAATGAATAGTGGGAGAGGAACAATGTCAAGATGCCTTCCATTGCGTGTCATTAACATTTGTATTTGACTAAATAATCGAAATGACGGAAACGTTGGAAAGGTAGGATTCAGATGAACATAGACCTTGGCGGTGTAATATATATCGCATCGGCATGCTACATACTTCATACTACATTGCATTGCATACTCGATGGCATTATATGACCTCCCTGCCAAAATAAGCTGGTCCGCATCACGACTGCATGATACTCGATTAGAACCGACAATATATGACTGCTGTTGACTTAACACACGCCCAATGCGCAAATCATTGCGCCAAATATGCTCACTATCACTATGGATACGTGGTGCAAAATCACTCGGATCTC